GGTTTTCATGTGGAGAAGATGATGCTGTAAATAGACACACAAACACACAGCGACTTTGGGTTTAAGGTGCATCATTATCCAGACCCGAAGGTATGTCAAGTTAATGCTAGAGCTCCCTTTGTAATTGGAAAAATATCCACTAATATGAATTTAATGGATGAGGCCTTGTCACAGACATTTCTCACTGGCAGTGCAGTTATGTATAGCTATTTGAGTTATTTTTCTATTTTGGATGAACTAGTAGTAAAGCAGGAGTCTGAAACGGCTTTATTTTTAATCCCAACCCACTTAGCAGTGTTGTTGGTCTACCAGCTGATGGACGGTGAGCACTTACTGTGTTTTGGTGCTCGTCACCGCCGTCTGACGGGACCACTTGTCGCCCCCGGCTGCCTGCACCATGGAGACCGGCTCGTCTCAGCAGGGATTGGCTGGTTTTCAGCGACTTTGTAGCATCATCGTGTCATCACCTCCCTCAGGAGGGCAATGCTACTGTGGTAGCATCAATCTCGTTAGCGCCAGCAATCATGACTTTACTTTTGACTTTTAATGAGTGTTGCATTTTAAGTGACAATCTTCTTCTTCTTCTTGGTGTTGATGATACAGGCGGGTGTGAAACGAGGATTATGTTGGAGCGGGGCTCGGCAACCTTTTCTATCCAAAGAGCCATTTTGCCCTACTTTCCACCAAATATAATTGGTCTGGAGCTGCAAAAGCTATTTGATATCACAGCTTATAAAATTGTATATATAGTTATATTATATATATATATACAAAAACTATAGTTTGTTGTATTTATGAAAATATAGAACAAGAATAAAGACAATTCTTGACATTTATTTGCAATTTTACCTGATATAACAATATCAAACTCTTGTGAAGAGGAGAGTTTGCTGCAGCAGTTCAGAATTTGCTCTTTTTCGCTCATCTCCAGCGTGACACTTTTCAGCACATGCTGTGTGCTTGTTCTGGAAGCATACAGGTAAACCAGCATCGTTGGCGGTGAAAGCAAATGAAGACGTCCACGCAGAGTTAAACTCTATTTTCCTCCGTGACTTTTCTTTTTTTAGATTTATCCATTGATAGTTTACAGAGGCCGGGGGTCTGAAAATCATGATTAGCCACCTGCAGGGAAAAGCGCTTGACAGGGGTAGAGGATTTGACTGCCTGTGGGAAGAATTAACATATACGATTCTGTTCATTCTGGCTTATAAATTATATTCTCTCTGAACAAGTTTCTCTTTTTGGAGAGTCATGTGAGATAACTTCTTCGATTAGCACAATGTTCCTGCTCTTCTTTCCATTTCCTCGTCTCACCTCGTGTGTCACGTGTGTGTAAACCTCGCTGGAGTCAGGAAACTTGTCAGAATACCCATATTTGATTGGCTGAGCTGCATCACATGATGTGATTTGCAATGCATTAGTCGGTGTGTTTCCTGCACCGCCGAACAAGTGCCGTAACGGCTGAATAAGAGGTGCCGGTTAAAGTTTAAACTCGGTATCCAATATGTATAATTCCGAATTATCTATCGGTTTTTAGTTCCTGGGTCCGGATCTGGTGCGCCAGTTGGGGACCTCAGGTAGCCGCAACAGAGGCTCGCGAGCCGCAGGTTGCCGACCCCTGTGTTGGTGGAAGAAATAAACGGTAATCAGGCTCACTTCTATAAAAGTCTGCCAGTCTGTAAGAGTTCTTTTCCACAGAATGCTAACACATTTTAAAAATTGCGTATGTTTGGAATAATTTCTAATGGCGTTTTTGTGCAGCGTTTTGCCAATGAATGACCCGGTTCCAGTAGCGTTCCTCTGGATAGAACCTGCAGGGATGTGCAGCTCGTTTTGGGTGAACAAGCCTCGTGATGTATTCTCGTCACATTCTGTGTTTTATACCGAACGGTGACATGTTGGTTCAACATTTAAATTGGCGTCAACACTCTTGAGATCTACACACATGCTGCGTCTGACTATACACTCCCAGCACGGTGGCGTCCCACAGCGGTGTGGTGTGAGGAGCCGGTTACTATGGAAACTACCTATATGCGGGGGCCATGCTCGTGAGGTTGAGACTGATTGATTGATGGGTGCCGTTAGTAAAATCCATCTCTGGGTGGAGGTGCACCAACGGTGTGAGATCTCGAGTCCTTTACCTGTGAGAGTTCAGACGGTCACGCGGTGCCGGGTCAACGGAGACCTGGTTGTGTGACCGTCTTGGTTCCTAATCTTGTGAGCGGATGGTGCAGCATGGACTCTGTTATACAGACAGAGGGTAATAAGATGTAGTTGTCCTGCCAAGTGCTTCTCTGGCTGCTGTGGTGGCGTTGCACGCTTCGCTGCACGTTGTCTGCATTCAGTCAGTTTATTCAAACACGTCTTTTGTTTTGGCCACTTTTTTTTTTGCCATGTTGACGTGGCGGCAAATGAATTCCCGCTCCTGCCACTTGTCCCCGAGGTGCTCTCAACAAAGGCTTTTCATTAAGCACACGGCGGTGGAATAAATTCGGATAGCTCGTACTCTTGTTTCTTTACACGCTGTCAGCTGCTGTTCACTGGTGGATTTCATTATTTCCCCCCGCTGCTGTTTCTGGTAAGGTCACTTACCAGAGTGTAGCGGAGGAATTCAGTGAAGGGTTCCTGCAAAAGTTCACTCTGGTCCCCATGCATTTCTTTGCTCTATTATTTTACAACAGAGTTCTTCATCATTGATTCCAACAGAGACGTTAAGTGAACATTTCTCTGACGATCTGCCTTTTTAATTGGGATCTTGATGTAAGCTGAGTCGGTTTGTTTGATTTCTCTTCTCGTGTGTGTGTGTGTGTGTGTGTGTGTGTGTGTGTGTGTGTGTGTGTG